GCCCCCAGGGTCCCCGAAAAAAAAAAATAAAAAAAAACATTATTTTGGTTTTTTTGTACAGTTTTTTTTTTTTTTTTTTTTTTTTTTACCCCCTTCAGGATTAAAATCTCTAAAGGTTCAATTACCAAATCTGGAGTTTAACTCGTTTCCCATCCAGCTCTATGGTTCTGATCTTGAAGTCGATCCCTGTGTTGGAGCAAACAAATGGGCTTAGAAAAGGAATTCAGGGTTCCTACATGTATTTCATGTCAAAATGCTGTATTTTTCAGTCAATCAAGTATATTGGCATAGCACATTTGAGCAAAAAGGCAGTTCAAAGTGCTTTACGTAATACAAAGACAAGAATAAGAAGTCATAAAAGCAATATACAGGCAATAGTTGAAAAACCAGTGACAAACATTACGTTTTGACGAGACAGATACCTAAATGCACAGTTGGATGAATGGATGGTTAAATAATTGGGTAATGGATGGATGTTGGATGGTGCAAATTACTATGGGTGAGGGGAGCTTGACCCTCTTAATTAAGGCTTTGACCTCCCCTAAATAAGGTTAAAAATAAAAGGTTGGAGAGTATAAAACACTTAGCGATTCCATGCTACTTGTATTATTATACAATTACATTAAGTGTGTTGAAATAAGCTTAAAATACTCCTGTAATAACCAACTCTCCCCTAAAATGGAGCATATCTTCAAACCTTGTTTACCGTTTATCAAAACGTGATTGGCAGTAAGACATGAGTTTCTGTAATGATGCATTCACATTTAACTTTTTCACCTCAGAGTTTCTTAATTATAGTTTGTAAAGAGTTTCAAGAGGGAATACCATGATTTGTCTATGTAACGTGAAGTTAGTTTATGATTTGTAGCTAGTGATGGGCTTGCTTGAAGAACTGACTAAATTAAATCAAATGCAGACTTCAATTTTATGTTCTCCCTCTGGAAAGAGTGGTGAATTGATGGTCTAACAGCTAGAATCCATTCCAGGTTTAGTCAATTAATATAGAATAAAGTCTGAGAACAAAAATATTTTTTTCTCAAATGTGTTTTTTCATATATTCAGATTTGAAAGATACTAAAATCAAATTCCATAGTTTTCCAGAGGTTTCCAAGCAGTGTATGATCTCTGAGCATTAGATTAATCTTGCCGTTGATCACTACATTATCAAACACTTCTCCACATATTAAAACACTAATGATAATTTTGTAAAAGCTAAAAAACAATTGAAGAATATTGGTACAGAGGGGTAATCATTGTTGACCACAAAAGCCTCATGAGGTTATGGAGACTACATCAGTATCATATCAATGGTATCAGCCATTAATCAGTGTAGTATCCTGTACTGAACCTAATTGATGGACGTAAGCTTACAGGAAAGAATCATTACCATTTGCCTCTCACGTCCATTGTCTGGCTTTAAAACCCTCACAGATCATTAACACAAAGCAGGTCTCCGTGATATGCATTAAAGCTGCTATTTTACGAACGTTACCATCAACAGAGTCTTGACGAAGGTTCAGGAAACCATTTTTAAGTTTAAAATGAGTATTTTTTTTTTCCCTTGAGGCGTCCTCGGGATACTCACCTATTGTAGATATGAAGGTGGTATTGAAGGAGTCCTCGCTGAATCTGAACAGCAGACATGTCTTACCGACGCCGCTGTCTCCGATAAGCAACAGTTTGAAGAGGTAGTCGTACGTTTTCGCCATTTTAAAAAATAATAGAGTCCAGTGTTTAGGTCTTTACAAAATGCCGTTAGGAGCAGGCGGAGTCCGCCTGGGTGGATATCCTCAGCTGTCGGCTGCCGAATCGGGGCAGACTGGCTGCACAGCAAAACCGGTGCCGGAGGTGTTGACGTCATTGTTTTCGCTTTGCTTTGTGGGATATGTAGTTTCAAATAAAACGGCGACTTAAAGGGATATGAGGCCGGAAATAGTCGCACCTGAGAGGGGGCAGTAGATTTACTATTTGCTTTGTTGCTTATTACAATATAACACGTATTTATCTCCTTTTTGTTTATTAAAAAGCAAAATAAACATTTCCACAAATAGATACGTTACAGTGCAAAGTGTCATTGGTATAATAACCCACACACCAGAGGTGATTGGTTTATGCTGGCACTACATCTCATTGATACTTCTCTACATTCTGTCTCGCTATATTGGAAACTGACCTTAGGGTTGCTTTGAGAGCTCTGACTTTGCAAGTACAATCAGAACACGTAATATTTCTGGATTTTAAAAAGCTATAAGCAATTAAAATTTTAGCTGTTGTGAATGACTCTCAGAATGATGATCTCTTAATACGAATTCCTGTTAGACATCCCAAGAGACTAAAACTGACTGGTCCAAGAGGAGCCAACACCAAATACTTCTACCATCTCAAAAACATAATTAGTGCAAATACTGTATTATTGAGCTTTAAATTAAAACCATGTTTGTATTAGGCACCTATTTACAGAGAGGTCCATTATTATTTACATGAGAAACTAAGTCAGGAGGTGGGTTCGCCACCAATAGTCTTCCTGTGTGAAGTTCTCGAATGAAACATGTTCAAACGAATTAATAATTGATATTATTTAATATCAAAGTAAAGCACAGAATAAAAAAAAACAATTATATTAGGTTAACTGAGACCTTCTTTCTGGCAGTTACTATGGCCGTTTACATTCTAATCTTTTTGCACATAGGTAGCATACCCTGACTTTCCCAACCTTAATTTTTTTTATGTGAAGAGCTGTATATAACAATAAGTTAAATCTTTATTTTGTTTTTGAGTCTGGAGTTGTTTTAATAGAAATTCACTTTGGTCTTGTGCCATAGCTGCTTTGCTCAGAATTCTGACCTTTAGGGAGACATTGGGTTTTAAATATTTTAGTCTGATTAAAAAAAAATAAATAAAATCTTCCGTTAGTAACATTCATTAAAATAGGCTGTAAAACAATTCATTGGTAATTATATTTTAGACTGGACTTAGATTAAGATTTCCTTCACTGATTTTTTTTGTCTTGAAAGGTTTCTCCTTCAGGCCATCTACTTATTAGAAACAAATTAGGCAAGAATACAATGTGCAAACTAGTGGTGTGATGACATACATGCTGAAACGTGCACGTAAAATACAAGAAATAAAAAACAAAATCCAGATGAAGATCCCTATACTTTATTAGATGACCCCAAATGTGTCATAGTTGACGTTACCTTCACAGAAAGCATACGAATCGTCCTTACAGGCTCTGAAAACAAAGAATGAGTGTAGAATTGATAACGAATACATACAAACAAATAAAAGGAAAAGAATTCTTAAAATACAGAAACAGTGACATGAAAATACAGTTTGTAAAACAAAAGACCACTTCTTCAGTGACATGTTTGTGTCAAGCAAACATAAAAAAAAAAAATCAAAAATTGGCAGCTGTGTTGTTGAGTCATCCTTTTCTTTTAAGTCCATACTTTGAAACTGCAGTGAATCAAACCTATTCAAAAGAACTGGAACCTAGATTACAATCACTGCGTCTGACATTGCACTCCGCCTCTGGGACCCTCTTCTTCCTCCTCATAGGCTTCTCTGTGGTAGCGTTTCTGTTGTGAATTGAGATCAACCTCACAGAGGTCCACTTCCTCCATGTCCTCCGTAATCATCACATCCTCTCTGGGAGGAAGCAGTCTTTCCAGCTGGAACATGAGATGCTCTGGGAGCCAGTGGTTTTCTGGGAACTCCACCTGGAAGCAGAAAACATGATCAGAAAGTTGCCGGATACGCCACAAAAGTTCTACTTAAAATCTGTGTCGGTTTTGTAAAACGCGTTAAGAAACTCACCTGGAACTGAATGATGAGCATTCCTCTTTCATAGGGATCCCGGTGGATAGGCATGCCCTCATTTTGAACACATTTGATGTCATTGTGCTTGATGACTTCTCCTGAAAGAGAACAAAAAGTTAATGTGTCTATAAACCTAACAGCAAAAACGCAGGTAAAGACAGCTGGTCAACCAAAAGAATTGCTGTACCTGGCATTGTGCTGATGATGAGCGATCTGTTGTCTAATGTCCGGATGGTCTTTCTGAAGCCACACAGGGCCTCTGCAAGTTTGATGTCCATCTTCATTACCAGATCGTCTCCTTGCCTCTGGAAAACTGGGTGCTCCTTCTGATCCAGGACAATGACAACGTCTCCAGGTTCTAGTCCCGGTTCCTGGTCACCCTCTCCGTGAAATGTAATTTTCTGGCCATCTTTCATACCTGAAACAATTAAAAAAAAAAAAAAAAAAAAAACATTTTATCCAAGTTCCTCGTCAAAATTATATCGGATTACTTTACTTTTGCATATTTAAAGTCTTACCTTTGTCAATGTGAACTTCAAGAATTTTCTTCTTGCGCTCCAGTTTGTGTCCGTTGCAGTTCTTACAGCGGTCCTTTGCGTTAAACTTCTCCCCCTGCCCCTGGCAGTCATGACACATGCTCTGGGTCTGCTGAATCATGCCCGGCCCGATCTGTTGCACTCTGATTTGTACTCCTCTGCCTTTGCAAGTCGAACACTTCTCCAAAGCCCCTTTTTTACCACCGTAACCTTTAAAATGAAACCAAGATACATTTATTTTCTGTCTTGAGAAACAGTTTTAGGGACTTTTTAAAAAGTGTCCTACGAAAGGTATAGCACTTACCGTCACACTTTTCACAAATGACATTCTTCTGAAGTCCAAGCTTCCTAGAAGAACCGTTGTACATTTCTTCTAGTGTGACACCAAGCTGGTGAACAACATTTTTTCCTTCAGGAAAAAAAAAAAAAAAAAATGCAATTTAAAACCTAAATATTCAAAGTGCATCACATCCAAGCTGGAGTTCGTAGACTTTGTAATTATATCCCACCTCTTCTCTCTCTCTGCATTCGACCTCCACCTCCAAAGAACATGTCAAACACATCCATTGGCGAAGCCCCAGAGTTCATGCCTCCTTCTTTAATAGCTTGTTCCCCTCCTTGGTCATATAGGTCCCTCTTCTTCGGATCAGACAGCACCTCGTAGGCATGAGAGATGAGCTTGAACTGTTAAAAAAAAAAAGAGAGAAAGTTTTAAGTGGCTTTAAACTTGCAGTTATACATGTTAGACATACTTTATTCTCTACTAGAGGAAAATGGCTGATTCTTCTTTCATACCAGATTTTAAAACGGCATTTATATTTCTATCAGCTAAACTATGTAGATGGTTCTGATAGATTAGTGTGCTACCTGATCAGCCTTCCCCTCAAAAACAGCCCTTTATTTATACTTAAAATATCAGTAGTTGAACAAAGTAGTTTTGATATGACAACATTGTGCTTGATTTGCCTTATACAAGAGGTTTCTCTAAATCCACCACAGTGTTCTGTTATTTTAAGTCTTCTAGTACTTATAGCATGTCCCACTGACATGCATCAATTTTAACCTTCACCAATTATTAAATATCTGGAGATTGAGGGAAATCCACCCATAACTTCTTTAAATTAAGTCATTTGTGATTTCAGGTCACAAGGTATTTTTTGTTTGTTTGTTTTTTGTTGTTGTTTTTTTTTAAGGTTTCTTTTTAGACTGGGGAACATAAATTGCCCCAGGATTTTAGCTTTTAAAAAACTGCAGCTGTTTAAAATACAATTATTGAGACCTAATTAAAATAAATAAATAATAATAATAATAAACACACAAACCAATAAATGGATTAAAAGGTCATGTGCTACAATGTGTGATCTTAAATAACAATACATTTCAGAAACGATTAGCTCTTCCACTCCGGTCTAATCTCCCCCAGTGTTAATGCAGAAGCAGCTCGGTGGATGTTTCCAGAAAGTTCCTCCTGTCTCGTCTCTCAACAAGGAGGTTTAAAAACGGAAAGCAACGGCCCACTAACTGAACATTTTCACACATTAGAGTAATCTCTGCATTTCTCTCTTACCTTTTCGCCTTCATTTGGGTTCTTGTCCGGGTGATATTTCAGTGCTAGTTTTCTGTAGGCTTTTTTAATTTCGTCCGTCGATGCTTTTGGGCTGACCCCCAAGAGATCGTAGTAACCAGTTTCGTGCACCATGGTGACTCTACTGTAAAAAAAAAAAAAAAAAAAAAGATAAATAAATAAAAATATATTCTATTTAATTCCGTTGTATTACCCGAATTGCGGGCTTGGAATAAAAAATTTCAAAATAAATTAGAACAAATTGTGAACGTACTCTCTTATAAAGATAATAATGGAATTCCTCTTTCAGTTTTAATACACAAAAATTAACTAAGCAGACTGCATATTAAACTTGACGTTAAAGGGTGGTTGAATGATATTAAAAACAGCAGCAGCTTACTCTTACCACTGAGCTTAATTAAGCTCCCTTAAATGTAGCCGCTACATAGCTTTATAAAGATCAGTATAACAATAAAAAATATACCACTTACTTGTTGTATTTCCTCTGTCTCACCCTGTCAAAGAGCTGTTAACTGACACTGGACGAGGAGGACACGGCTCCTTCTTATAGCCGTACCGCTGTGCAGAAGTTTCTGGAGAGCTCGGAGCAGCGCCACCCGGATGTGTCGTAGACTGACGCAGAGTCTAGAAAATACCAGAGCGGAAAAAAATGGCGCGAGGGAGAGGGGTGGCGGTGGCGCTCCCAAACCGGCTTCTCGAATGACTTAACCTAATTCCTGTCTTCATATATGGGGCAATAGGTGAAGGTCTTTCAAAGAATATTATGCAACACCGCTCGGAGAGAGGGAAATAGGGGGATAGTGTTGCTGTTGCATAAAGAGCAAATTCAGCAACAACAGTTAAACACAACTGTTTTAGAAAAGTTTTAAGGTTGTCTGTGCGGTTCATGCTTCGAACCGATCTTGCAAACTCATCATTGTAACA